AAGCTCTTGGGCGCATTCTTGGACAAATTCTAAATCCCCCCCCCCCAAACTATTCGTTTTATTTAGTGTAAAAATTCCCCCCAAGCTTTAAGTGCGCGCATCGTGCGCCCACCTTCCCCCCTGATGGGGGCCCCTGATATATACTGTATGAGTGAATCATTATAAGTACTTGCAAAATTGAAGAAAGCTTGGCACACTTTAGTTTAACTCAATCTTTACTTTAATCTTTAGGAGTTGGCATTCTTGATAATATAGTCAAACTTTTATTTCCATTGGTTTCAGTTCTTCTTAGGCAGAGTTTTACAATTTGCATTTACTAAAGAATTAAACATTCACATTTTAAAAACTTTCTTAAACTACAAATTTGATTTATTTTTCTCTAAAATTTAGAAAATTTTAAACTTGTTCTGTGATGTTTCAATTGTGTAACTATCCCTTTTAAAAATGGAACTTTAAACTCTTGTGACGGAATCCTTTTAGAAGATATTTGTTTTTCCTGGTTTTGGAGCCTGCCCCAGTATTCTGATTTTGTTTTTAAAACCACTCCTTCAGTTATGCTCCTGGTTTTATTAAATATAACCAGTGCAGATCATTATATGTTCGCATGGAAATTTTTTTAAAAATGTGAAATAAAGCATTATTTTTGCCCTTTTCTTGGAGCTAATTAAAAAGTTATATTTTATTTTATTATTATAAGTTTAAATTAACAATGTAAGCAAGAATGAGTGAATAAAGTTTCACCCAAATTAAGCAATAACCATATTCCTTCGCGCATTGAGAAAAGACTAGAAAAAAAATTCTGTCATAAAAGCTTTCTAAGCATGATTATTGAAAGGAAATAACCAAAATATGTGGATTGGTGTTGTTTTGGATTTTCTGTTATGGCCTAGAAAGAAAACAGTTTTGGCATTTTGTCTTGCTACTGGCCATGACTGACTATTAAAATATCTGCATCCGATAAACATCATTTCAAGCCCGATTTGCAAATTGTGCATTGAAGATGAGTAAATGTATGCCCTTCACTTGACCCATTGTCCTGCACTCATTTTTTAAATTCTTTGGGAGAAATATTGGAAATTAGATTCTATTGATTACTCATAGCCTTTAATTCAATTGTTCATTATTTTTTCCGTTTCCCCCCTTTTTTTGTTGACAGATATTTTTGCCATTAGAAAGAAAAAAAAGTTACCACAAAATTAGAATTCTTTAAATCAAAACTACACGTTTTAATAAAGTATTAATTATAGTATGTTTAGTTTATTAGTATTAGTTTTTTTGTAAAGTTATCATTATGTTTGGAGGAGTTTTTAGAGGATTTAGAGTATAATCATACAATTTTTTTTTAATTGCATGATAATAAAATTGAATGTACTCCTGTTCAATACAGTTGTAATAAGGAATTAATGAACCAGAATTCCTTTCTCGTTTCACATGATAGCAAAATCACATTAAATATGCCCTGTTTTTCCATATTTTTTTTCTATATTAGACAGAAAAATGGATAAAATTAAACAAGTTTCTGCTTAAGAAGCTGCCCAAAAGAAAAATAGTTAGCTATGATAATTTTTCTCAAGTGAGTATTGAATAATAGTTTCCGTTTCTTCACATTTTTGGTGCTATAAAGTCTTTTTTTTTAAAATTTAAATGTCAATTGTTTAATTCTCTTTCAGATGACACCTGAACAAATGATTTTGTTGTTGGAAAATCTTCTGCAACTTGATTTGCTTAGTGTTCAAACCTTAAAATGCCTGAATGACTTTTTTAACCTGAAAGATTCAAATCCTGAAGTAAGTTCATCAAATAAGGAATTTATAAATGAACATTGTTGTTGTAACATTTATCTTTTGATTTCAAATTATATGCAGAAAGGATTATTTTATGAAACGTAAAAGACAATAGGACCTATGACTTAAATACAAAACATTGGTATTGTTTGGCTTGGGTATTGATTCTGCAAAAAGGGAAAATTTAAACTTCTAAGCATTTTCTATTATTTAAAATATTTAAATGTAGAATTTTTGTTGCTCATTTGGTAGATATTTTGTGCCTGATATGTTGGCAATTTTATGTTTGTCTTAAAAATATATTATCAGCTATTATTCAGCCAATTAAAATGCTGAAGCTCTGAATAACCTTTTATGCATAAATTTTTATACACTGAATAGTATTCTTTAGGGATAAATTTTTCTACTTAAAATGAGGTATTTAAATACCTTAAAAGTCTGCTATAAGAACAATTCATAATAGCCAAGGAAATTGTCATTATAAGCAAATACCCATATTTAATATTAAAATATCAGTAGAAAGTGTAAGGTAGGTAAGTATTTAATTTATGTTGCACTAGAGCTCTACAATGGGCTATTAGCCATGGTCTGGAAAACATCCCCCAGGATGATCCGAAGACACGCTGTCACAATTTTGATCCCCTGCAGAAGGGATAGCTCTTCCACTTCGGTAATCCGATGACCTAGGCACAAAGTGCCGAGCACTTTAGGCTAGAGCAGTTTAACCAGGACCGATACTGCACACTCTCGATCCCTACCTAGGCTGATCTAAGTGGTCCCCCACCCGCTTACTTGCCGCAGCCAGTGATGCTTAACCTCAGTGTTCTATGGGGAACATTGTCTTTATGATCAATCCACTGTGTGACTTAAAAAGCAGAAAGACACATGTATCTCTTTTATTTTGAGCAACTTTTTTTCAAAATATATATCTGGACTAGACTGTTTTAACTTACAAATTGTAGACAAAACTCTGTATTTTTGACGTAGTTCAGTATTTTTATGAAAGGCAGAAAAGTCTACGAAAACAATTTTAGCACGACTATGTTTCCTAATTGTAAAAAAGTTTGTGCTTAAAAAACGAAAATGAAATGTAATACCTTTTGACAACATTGATGACACTGAATGACGATTTTGTATTATTAGTAAGTTGTCAGGAAGTGAAATAAAATGACGTGTGGTGAACAAAAGTCACACTCTTTTTAAATGGGTGATAAAATTCCTAAACATAGGGGGGTAATAAATGTCTTAGTGGGTGATTGCCCATATCTTGCTTTATAAAAGTAAGGTATTAAAATTTAAGAGAAATGAACGTTGTTCTTCTCGGAAGTTTTACCATGAATTTTAACCCCTATCGCCATCTGCGCTTCGCTTTACATGGTCAACCAGCCTATGTTTCTTTGGTTCTATGTTGGTGTTTTTTCAATCCTCTTGTAAGCAAACTGCACCCCCCTTATGCTCATGTAAGAGTTTGAGCTTTAGGAATACTAATCTAATTTTAAGAATTATCATGATAGCATATTGAGTGAAATTTCAATTTATAATATATGTAATATTTGTTTAGGTGCAGCACAGATGGTTTGAATTGGTAGTAAAGCACAAATATAGAAATGAGTACCCAGCCTTGAAACTCTTTCTGACCACTCATTTGGTATGTTGCAGTTTTTTACAGTGCTCTTTCAAATAAAAATTATAAGTTCTGTTAGCTCTATTTACCTATGGTAGGTAATGTATTGGCCGAGATAGCCTGGTTGGCAGGGCACTGGACTCTTGTTTGTGAAAACAGGAGTGCGAATCCAGCTGACTGAAAACTCCCTGTGTAGTTAGGGAATAGTGACTGGTACACGTTAAACGTGTCAGGTTCCAAAGTATTCCATGTTCCCATAATAAATTATACCTCTGGGGATACTGAATTGGAGATGAATCGTTCTCTGGTTCGGTTCAGGTCAAAAAATGCAATCTGTGGATGAATGTATGAAACGGCCTGCCCTATAAACGGGTGTGACAGAAGTCAAATTCGTGGCCATAGAGGCACATCGGAAAACAAGAACTATCGCACCTCTTGCCTTAACAACATCAGCAGGTAATTTATTGTAAGGAATCATCATTCGAAAAGATTAAATGAAGGGTAGCGTGTGATTCAAATAAATGAATTGAAAATCATATTTTATTAAAAATTATTTTTTGGTTAATTGGCTTAACAGAACACTTTTCGGCAAATTACAATTTTTTATTTATTTTTCTTAACAAAAATTTACTTATTTGTCCGAATTTTAAAAAAAATAACACTATCATTAAAATGCAAATGATATTTCTTCATTTATGATATTATTGCTTCAGTATTGATCCTTACCATTAAAATTAAGTGAAATAACTTTCAAGAGTCATCAGAAAGCAAAACATATTTTAATAGTTAAACAAATTATTGTTGAGGCAAGAAAAAAAGGTTTTGTTTGTTGATTTTTATGTTCTTTTTGTTCATGTGGATTATGAATGTGGTAGACTGCAGTTGGTAGACTTTTAAAACAGTGGAATGGTGCGTTTAATTATTTTCTGAAACATATTTCTTTGAAAAAGTCTGATTTAGTTCAAAGTTCAAAGTAACTCGTTCAAAAGCATAGTAAGTATCATTAAAACAACAAACCATTAAAGCAGCAGCATCAAATAAACTGTTCACGGAATTCACTGAGTCGTTCAAAATATTTATGCTGAATAATTAAACATCTCAGAACTTCTTTGTATTTTAACTTGGAAATTTCTTTTTTAATGAAAATTAAAGATTTTTTTAAAAAAGTGAATAAGTTTTTCATCAGTAAATCTACTTCTTTTATGAGTCGGTTGCCGTTAATGAAAAGGTTCAGAAAGAAATCACTGAACTATCGAATGCAGACAAAAAATTTCTTTTGTTTTAAGTCTCAAAAGCATTATATTGCAACTGTTAAACTCACTAGAAAAACATTCTTTCACAATTTATTGGTAAAAGTATTCAATTTTTTAAATTTAAGTGAAATATTTCTTGTATCCTAAAAATATAATATATCTAAATTTAATATCTAGAATTCATTCTTAGAGCATTTTTTGGAATTACTTGTGTGGTATTGCTTTTATGATGTTTTGTTACTTTTATCTTTGCTGTACTGCTCTGCACTGCTATAATTACTTTAAAGTTTTAGTTTCTCTTTCATAAGTTGTCACCTGCCCTTTTCTGCCCTTAAATAATTTAGCCAAAAATAAAAAAGAAATAGCAAGTATAGGCCTACTTATTTTGTGATGGTGGTAACAGCCAATAAGAGTTGAGTATGCTTTGGGGGCTTGGTCAGAGGAGGTGAGAGGAGGCAAGGACACACATGGTTTTTGGAGACCTGAGGTTAAAATACAAAAATATGAGGATCCTCAACAGCTAAGTTATATTATAAAATTTTCTATCACCCCATAATTATTTTTTTATTTATTAGCAGTGCAGCTTCATAATGTATAATTTAATGTTAAATTTTTTATGTACCTATTATTATTTTGAGTGAATGCCTTCCTGGAACAAAATTTGTAACTCTAAATATCTTAAATGATCTATATTAAATAAATAGTTTTAACACCTTGCAATTAGTGATCATTCTAATGATCTTGTTCTCTTCTTAAGAGTATATTATTTTTAATTGTTATTCATTTTTATTCTTATCTTAATGTGTGTGGTGATGAACTGAACATCACCACACTTGTATCGTATCTCAAAAGAATTATTAAATATCTTGTATCGTATCTTTAAAGAAGAAAAGAAGCAGAAGATAGTTAGAAGATATAGAAAAGAAGAGATTTAGTTACGGTTGCCATGCCTTTTTATATTCCTGAAAAAATTTTACATGATGACTAGAAATTGCTTCAATTTTATTTATTTATTTATTTTAATTTTATAATCGTTGTTGAAACAGCCGATCAAATTTTTTGGGTTTACGAATACTAATTTTCAACTCCTTGTAATTTTGAACCCAATTCAGAAGACAAGGGAACTCCTGGATAAAGTATTGGAAGAAATTTGCTTTCATGGAGGACTTTTAATGCATAAATTTGGACTTGAGAACGAATAAAAATAATATGATGCTGTCAGGAAGAGAAAATTTTAAAAATTTATTTACATAATTGATATGACAATTGTAATTCTAAAAAGTGATAAATTTGCTTATCTATGTATTGTATAAGATCCCGCTTTAACAAATTTTTCTGCACAACCAAATACAGCACAGTAGCCCACTATATTTTAAGATTTTTTACCTTAAAATTCCGGCATCGATTTTCTTATATTGAAATGGCATGGAGAAATGGAAAGTCGAAAACATCTCTCTTGATTCACCCTCCAGTCACGTAGCGTCATTCTTAGGAAAATAATTATCGTGATGTGCTGGGTTTACAAAATTTCTAATCGACGCAATAAACCTTGAGGATAAATAGTTCAAAAGATTTATATTTTGTGTAGCTTGTTTCAAAATGCTAATTTTTTTTTATGCTTGTTGGATATTCCATGGCAATGACCACCTGTATATTTAATTTTCCAAGTCAAAATTCTTGATGGTCCCATCAAAACATTTTGATGGTTTATGTTAGTTTCAGTGCGATTCATGATGGTCCAACATTATTTGATGGTCACCATCATCCAACATTATCCATTACGTGTTTATGGTTTTCAATATGCCAATAAACTTCCATCATTCCATGATGGAAAATGCTACTTTAATACTATGATGGTTAACCATTATAAAGTCTAAAAATATAAAAAAATATCTGGCTAACAAAAGTACGAATAAAAGAAACAAAACATAAAATGAGATAAATTAAAATTAAAAGCATGAAATTTTGATAGAACATCAGAGAGTTGTTTATTTTTGAGAAAATAGCTTTTAATTTTGAGGTTTATACTAACCTGTTACGGATTTTTCTATTTTTTCCCCTTCAAGGTTATTACTATCTCGTTACTGGTACTTCAATTTTGTTCATTTATGTGTGGATTTTATTAAATGTGTTTTTTTATATACAAAAAAAAAACTTTCTTAATATAGCTTGATTCGTTACACCATTAAGAGAAGTTTGATTCTCATGGACCAACAATTCATGATGAACCGTGATGGTTCCAACTATTCATTTCCATGATGATTTAATGGGAATTATTGTTGGTTCTCAGGAATATACAATCAAAAAAAAATTTTTTTTAATGTTAAACCATCATAAATCTGTCCGAATTCCTGTGTTGAGATGATGTTTCTTCATGATCGTTCAACATTTGATTTCTAAGATACTATGATGGAAAATTCTGATGGTTCAACATGGACAAACCATCAAAACAAGTTGCTATTCTTATATTGGACTATCATAAATCAGTCTGAATTCATATATTGAGGTGATAGTTACTTATCTTGGTTGCCATCAAAAATTATGATGGCTCATGATGAAATTATTGATGGGTGTCATCAAGATTATGTTGGTCCATTAATAGAAAACCATCAAGCATTTTAAAGAAGTAAATTTTATTTACTCATTTATTATTTTTGAAATTGCTCAAAAGACTTAGTAAATTTTTCATTTTCAGGCCATGGGTGTTTACTTGTATGGTGAAATGATTTTCTCTAGAAATGCCACCCTCAAAAGGATCGCACAAGAATGTTTTGATTCCGTGGAATCGGAAATGGAACCAAACTACAAAAAGACGATACTACAAATGATCTCTGACTCTGCCTGAATTGTGATTGTTAAACTGTTGCTCACATGAAAATAAAAATTTTATTTTACTTAATAATCGTCACTGTTTTTTTTTGTTCTTAATCTTCGAAAAGGGAGCTGTGATAGCTGAGGAGATAGGGCGTTTCCCTTCCAATGAGGTGAACCGGGTTCGAACCGCAGTGATGTCTGGTCGATACGAACTCCGCATCCTACTTGTACCTACCACAGTTCTGACATAAAATATCCTCAGTGGTAGACGGATCATGGGTTAGAGTTCCCTTGCCATCAGGCTAACCGTGGGAGGTTTTCCTTTGCATGTAACGAAAATGCGGGTTAGTTCCATCAAAAAGTCCTGCACGAAGGCAAATTTCTCCCGATACTTGATCCAGGAGCTCCCTTGTCTTCTGGATTGGATTTGAAATTACAAGGCTATGGAGTTGAACATTAGAAGTTGTAAACCCAAAAACTTGGTTCGGCTGTTCAACTACGGTTATAAAATTAAATAAATATCTTTGAAGAGGATTCAGTTTGTTTTTAACCAACATGGTCATATTACTTTTCTGTTAACTGCCTTTTTCTTTGTGGTTTTTATGAAATCTCTTCAACTTAGTTTATATAAATATTTATATTCTGCTCCCTAGTTCATATAATCTCAAATTTTTATTTTAAATGAAAAGAAAAAGGTTGGTTTAGTGTTAAAAGACAAAAAAAAAAAAAAAAAAAGAATTATGTATTTTTTGTTTACCTTTTCCAGAATGAGTAGATAAGATCCAAAATTGTAAATCTTAAAATCTCCGAAATTAATTCAAAATTGTAAAAAAAGGTTAAAAGATCTTTACTTATCGCTATAAGAGTATATAGCTGTAAAAAAATTATAATTTTACTGCTGTCAGTTTTTTCTTGACATCGAAATATCTGAAAAACCGTCAATATAAGNGATCCAAAATTGTAAATCTTAAGATCTCCAAAATTAATTCAAAATTTTAAAAAAAGGTTAAAAGATCTTTACTTATCGCTATAAGAGTATATAGCTGTAAAAAAATTATAATTTTACTGCTGTCAGTTTTTTCTTGACATCGAAATATCTGAAAAACCGTCAATATAAGCAATTAACTAGGTCTCACTTGAAACCTACTTAATCACTTATAGTAAATATCTTTGTCTCACTAGAGACGAGGAGGATCCATTGGAACAATAATACTCCAAAACTAATGCGAAATTTAAAAAAGGGAAAAAGAATGCGTGATACATTTTTAAACATATGATTATGTGGCTGTAAAAAAAATTAAGTTTACACTGCTATTATTTTCGCTAAAAAAAATAAGTGAAAGCAGTCTTCAACATCCGAATGTCTTATGAATATGAAATGTATACAATTTCGTTTTGTTCCATCTAAGAGTTTTTGTGAGAAGCACGTTATGCGAAAGTATCGACATTTTAAAAAGTTTTCAGAAATCCATGGATATCAGTCGAAAAAGTTATTAAAAAACCATGTCCATTCACGTCGAGATCGACGTGAATCGAATGCTCGCGTCGAAAAGTTATTCATTCAAATGCGGATTCGAAATTTACATGTAACACTATCCGAATAAATGTATCGGGATTTCAAAAATTTTTTCTAAAATTCTGGATCAATAGTTGCTGTAGAACCACAAAGATTTTCGATGGAACCGGTTCAAAATCAAAAGAACGCGACTGAAAATGGATAGGTGATGACTCATATGCGTGATTCCAGAATTCACATTCATAAAGGAAGATTTTCTGCGCGATCCGGTCTTGTTTTTTGATTTCCTGAAGATGAATGGACCTGGTCTAGCTCCGCTAAACTAGTGGGGATAAGAAAAAACAACACGAGTCATTCAAGTATCGGAATTATGTGGAAATCCTTGACTATAACGGTCAAATAAAAGGTTCGAAAAACAATGTGATTTCACAGCGAAATCGGCTTGCATTCAACGTCACTAAGATTTCATTCAAATTGCGATTCGAAATGAGCCTGCGGTCATAACATTTTTTTAATAATAATATGTAACGTCACCAGAAGAAATATTTATTTTTATTCACAGCTATAGCGTCATTTATGTGTGAGGTTCAAGATTTCAGAATTTTCCTTCGAAATATTTTGAGTCCTATGGACTCGGAAGTATCGTTGCAGTTGCGTCTCAATTAACACTAAACATACCAACACTTTTCAATACAATACAATACAACATACAAAAACGGGTCTTTTGACCCGTTACGTTATGGTATGATTAGTGTTAATAAATTAGCGTTAAGAAAAAGAAAAAAAAACATCGTGAACATAATTAAGCGTAACCGCAAATTATCAGATATACATCCTTAACTGTACAATCTCAAATCACACATTGATGGATATTATACTCAAGATTTTTTATTATTTTGATATTTCTTAAAAAAATATTTTTTTCTAGAATTTTATGAAGAAAAAGATCTCGTACCTGGNGTCCTATGGACTCTGAAGTTTCGTTGCAGTTGCGTCTCAATTAATAAATTAGCGTTAAGGAAAAAAAAAAAAAATACATCGTGAACATAATTAAGCGTAACCACAAATTATCAGATATACATTCTTAACTGTACAATCTGAAATCACAAATTGATGGATATTACACATGAGATTTTTATTATTTTGATATTTCTTTAAAAAAAAAATTTTCTAAAATTTTATGTTGTAATAAAAATTTCTTTAATTTTTGTAATTGAGCATTCTAAGCATTTTATTTTTATACATGAATGTAGAAGTATTCTACAAAATTTGAGAAAGGGGATAATAACAAACTGAAACGGGGGAGGAGCTAATATATATATATATATGGGTGATTCTCACGAAATACGACAAATGACAGTCTTTTGCTCCAAGATCTAATACTATACTACTAAAGAACCTATTTTTTAAAAAAATTAATAAGTTGCACTGCTGTTAGCCTTTTAAAATGACTTTGCATTAACATTGACTGTTTTGTTTATTTAAAAAAATTAATTGAATTTCAAAATATCCTTTTCCTGGCATGTCACAAACAATATTTCCAATAATAACTAGCTTCAAAACTTTCCATAAATTTTTCAATATCTAATTTTTTTTTAAATCTCAACCGTTGATAGCATTTCTAGAACACATGTAGAGGGTATTATTTCCAAAAACTTTGTTAAAAATGATTTTTCTGTCAATAATTTGTCACATGAAAATCAGTCATTTTCCTGGCCACTTTTTTTTAGTAATTTATAATCAAAATAGATAGGGCCAGCAATTAATATCTTAAGAAGGTTAAGAAATTGAATAGAATATCATCCTATCAGAACATGTCTTATTTCAGGAATAAAGAACCAACTTTCTGGTTTAAAATCTATTTCAAACAATTTTACAAGGTGAATAGGTTTTTATGTTGTCATTTTCCTGTCTTCTTGAAATCATTAATAACATTAACTACATAGATATACCAGAGTTATTTCAAGAAATCCTGTTGTTTTCTGTGGAAAGGCTGAAATGTTAAATTAAAGTAAAGTTAAATGCTGTAAAATGGCAAATTGTCATTATTCTGACTGTCGTTTTCTTGGCTTATGAATGCCAGTTACCAGAAATTGTTTTAAACAGTATAATGTTAAGAGGGAAAACAAATATTAACCTAATACCCAGTTTATGTAAGATTGTAATATGCTTGTATGTAATCAAAATTATTTATTTATTTAATGATTAATTATTATACACAATTTTATTCTGTACACATCAAAAACAAAAACAGTTTTGATTCTTTTTACAGTGGATAAAAGAATTACTTTAAACAATTCATGGTCCTTCTAACAAAGGCTTTAGGTTATTTTTTTTTTCAAAACACAGATAGTTAAAATATAAAGGATAAGCTAAGAACATCACTGTACAATTTAATTTTGCCATAGTCTTTAAACTCTACATGGGTGTATACATTAAAGAATGTAATAAAGTTGTAAAATGAAATGATTTGAAATATTTTAAATTTAAATAGCATAATAAAAGAATTTCCGATGTAAATTGTAAATTATTATAAAATTAATTTTATTAAGTTATTTTAAAACATGGGACCTTAAAACAACCAAAGAAAAATAAACTGAGGGGAAAAAAACGAGAAGCAGATTAGAAACGGTGTGTTCAAACTGTTCGCAATTCTTTTTGGAATTTATTTACATAGAAAGTTAAAATTAACTTTTCAGTTTTGTCTTTTTGAGTTTCTTAAGTTGAGTTACTATTAGCGCATTCAAAATTTGGTGAAATTCTATTTATTTATTTTCCTTAAGCAAATGCCAATAAACTACACTGTCTGTAAGATATTAATAAATGTAACTAAATAAATATATTAAAAAAAAATTTAGATTATTTTGAAGACTTTAAATTTGAAGAAATTTTTTGGTCCGAATTGTTATGTTTCGTGAGAATCACCCATATACNATATATATATATATATATATATATATATATATATATATATATATATATATATATATATATATATTTGTACGAGTGTTTAATTTAAGAAATCCTCGTATCTTATAATCCCTTCTGACTCCAGCGATCTCTTCAACGATTTATTATCACAGCGTATATCGGCGTTTAAGAATTACGTTAAAATTAAAGTTTCAGTAAATTATGCGTGATTAATCTGACGAAACTTCTTTTGTAATTTTTAAGAATAACCGGTTAGTCTGTATAACTTAACACATTTACCAAAAAAATAAAATAAAGAAAAAACGTGGTTATTAATAATAGCCGCTGTTTATTAGTAATAACTTTAACCGTAACATAGGAAAATACCGAAAAAGCTTCTTGAAGCAGACGATTATTGATTCAATCGTTTTGTGTTTGAAAAACTAATAAAGAATTAAAAAGAGAGGAAGAAAAAGATTTGAGCCAAAAAAAAAAAATGAGGTTGAAATTTTTTTTAAAAATTTTATTCTTATTTTAACAAAGTTTATTTCAAATAAAAAATAAATAAATCTATAAATGTTAAGTTTTTTCGAAAAATACAATAGGGGTGGGCTGATGAACGCAAGTGAAACTTAGGAGAAAACAAAAACCGAATGAAA